GGGATCCCAGGCCACCTGGCAGCAAGAAAATAGAGTGAAAAATTAGCAGCCTCCGGGCTGGGGCCTGGCAAGGTGTGGGGGAGACCCCCTCCGCCAGCCCAGGGCCAGAGGGTGACATCACCCAGCTCTAGCTTGGCATCAGAGGCCCTGCTCAGCCCCAGACTTCTCCCAGTGCACCCTCTGCCAGTCAGTTCAGCCGTAACCCTAGACCCTCTGAGGACCACCACTTGGGGGTTCCTGTAGCCTCCCTAGGGGGCTGGTCCACAGGGAGCACTGCACCCTTTTCCCCTCAGCCCCCAAGTCCCTGAAAAAATGTCGTGCCCTTGGCTGATTAAATAAGGACCCTGACCCGAGCCTTCCATGAGCACGGGTGCAGGGTTGAGCCTTCTGTGTGCAGAGGGTGCTCCCTCACTGGGACGCAGCCTCAGCCATGCTTCCCCAAAATGAAGGGAATACAGGGCCTTGCCCACCCCCGCCCCGTGGCTCCACGTGCAGGCTCACAGCATCCATGTCAACCCCACCTGTGGGCCACACCGGGAGATGCTGATTCACAGGAGTTCCTTCCATCCTAAGGGTTGACCGTTTCCTAACGAGTCTTTCTAAGGCCGTGTGTCAGCAGCCTCGAGCCCCCAGACTGTGCGCTTCTGGCCAGGTGGACCTGGACCAGCCCCCTAGGCTGCCACGGGGCCTCTGTTCCTCCTTGGCCAGAGCTCTGGGGCAGCACTTGCGCCCACACCCGCCCCCTCCCCAGCTGCCGGGCGAGGAGGCTCGGGGTTGGAGATGCAGGGTGGTTAAGGTAAGGGGTATTGATGACCAAGCTCACAAGACTCCCCGAAGACTCAGAACGGTGACTGGACCCAAGGGCCGTGGGAAATGGGGTACATACCCCTCCCCGCAGTTTCTAAGGCCTCTCTGAAGGTGTCCACCCACCCAGTGGTCCATTTGCTTGCTCCCCGCCTTCCCTCCTCACCCCCACTGCCTCACTCCCCCGGGATCACACTCCCCAGCCCCCGACTCCACCCCTCTCTAATCCCCTCCCTGTAAAAGGGGAATGCGGGCTCTGTGTGTCTCAGGCTCTGCTTTCTGGGGAGCCGAAACCAGGATGGGCCCCACCGAGAAGTGACCCCACACTGGGAGTCGCTTCCCTCCAGGAGCAGGGCTATGACTGCCCCCCACCCGTGCTTCCTCCGTGCTGGACACAAAGGCTAGGCCGGTACAAAGGCAAACCGCTCTGGTCAGGGTAACCCACAGACAGCCCCCTACCCCAGCTCTCCAGGGCATGTGGTTCCCCCCTCCCCAGAAATTCTGGCCCATATCAATTCAGAGTCCAGCAGAGAAGCTGCCCCAAAACCCCTGGAAAGAGGGGACAGGTTTGAAAAGCAGTTGATGAAATGGAATTTAAATCATTCATTTGAATGTTAAATCATGAAATTGGTTATTTTTATCACATACCTTGGGAGCTGAATATTTTGACATATTTATAAGTTCTCCAAAATGGCATTTACATCAAAATTCTGGTTGCTTTTGCTGAGCCTCTGTCCTGGCTGTTACAGTTTATCTCCACCCCAGCTGGGTGAGAGGTGGATGCCAGTGGTGACTTGAAACCCATCCCTCAGCTTCCTAGGACATCTCCACCCCATGAGCGGGGGAAGTGGTCCACTCTCTGGAGTTCCTTGGAGAAGTTTCCCAAACTTCTGTTCAGAACTGGGGGAGGGGTTGGGGGTGGGGGGCACCTGCACCTGCTCGGCCTGGACCACACCCTTCACCCTTGTCCCTCCCCCATCCTCCCTCCCTCCCTCATCAGTTCTCATCTCCTTCCTCATTCTCCTTCCTAAAACTCACCAACTCCCAGCAACCTGTGCCATGTTCTTATCTGTCTTGTCTACAGCCTTCCTCTTTTCTCACTGGGATGAAACTCTGAATGGACAAGGAATTTTGGCCCTTTATCTTGCCACTTTCTCCCCAGGCACCCAGAAAATTTCCTAGCCGCTAGGAACTACCCAATATATATTTGAACAAACAGATAAACTAGGTACCAACAGAAAAAGACAGCTGAATTTGCACATTATCAAAGGCCAACCCTTTATCCTAGAGGAGCAGACTGTAAGGATGCAAGTCCACGCCAGTTTCCGCCCAGCGAGGGCTTGTCATGTCCCAGCCTCTGAGTGACTCTCTACTCACAGTTCGGGATGAACAAGCCCTTGTTCAGAAACACCTGAAACCTCAGTCTCCAGCCCTGCGCTGGGGCCAGTCCCTCACCTCTGTGCTCCAGCTGCCACCCTCATCTACAAGGGAGTCAGGCAGAGCCTTCTTTCCCAAACTGCTTCCAGGGGCCCAGGGTCAATGGCGCTGCCTCTGCAGGGAGTGTCTGGAAATCACAACCCGTCATCACTGAAGGAGCAGAAACGTAATGACCAGTGAGGACGGCCACATCCATCATCCACACAGTGCACCGGAGGACTTGTCTCTCAGTGGAAGCCCCATAGCAACCCTGTGGCTTGGGGACAACTATTAACCCACTTGTTCATGAGAATCTAGGTCATAAGAGTCTTTCTCAACATCCTAAATGCACAGAGAACTGGCATTGCGTTCACTCCTGTGGATGCCTTGGGGTGGCTTTTGAGCCCCAGTCTAGCCTGGCCACTTCCCACTGGGGGCTTCCACTCCGTCCCATGACCCCTTGGCCTTGGCTCATCCTGGGGTGAACCAGGGCTGCCCTCCATGCTCCCAGCTCCCATCCCTCTGCCCTCGTTCCAGTAGCCAATGCAGCCCAGCAGTCAGCCCGAAATTAATGGTGGGAAGCACCACTCCATCATGTTTCACTCTGTTAATTTCAAGATGGCCACTGTGGTGCCTTAGTACCTGGACTTCAGAAAGGGCACCGCAGGGCTGGCTGTCTCTGCCCTGCATCATCTGGGGTGCCTGGGACCGGGGCAACCGAGAGATGCAGATGCTAGCCATGGAGTCTGGTTGGCATGAGCTGCAGGGGTAAGGGCAGGCCCCCGGCAGCTTCTGGCACAACATGAGCCCTCAAAACTAAGTCACAGACAGTGCATACTTTGTTGACGAGATGTGAGGAAGAGGGAAGGACCATCACAGCACGAGTTAAAGAGCTGCTGGTGGCGGGGAAGTATATCAGCTAGAATGCTGTCCTTGTAAGAACTGCTCCAACCCAGAGAATTCACCAGAATGTGTAGGAAGCCCATAGGTCCAGAGGCAAGACTGGGGACAGGTCCCCCGGAAACCAGGAGAGAAATGAAAACTCACTGCAGTGGGCAGTCTCTCCCGGAAGCCACTGTTGACACAAGATGCAAACACCATAGGGGGAATACCTGGTGGTTTGGCCTGAACTGTCTGCTACGCCAGCCCTTTGGAGACAACATAGTTCCTGAAAAGGAAACCAGGCTGCAGAAAGGACGGAAAGAGGGACACGAGTGCACACAGTGATATAAGACGGAAAGAATTCTCACTGGATTCCAGCTCTGTTCTTTTCCTCCAGGCATGCGCTGGACCCAGAACTGCCTCTCAGTGGAGAGATCTCAGGTTCTCCCCCCAACAAAGCAACTAAACACTTGTGGACAAACACCTGAATACCAAACAGTGCTGCGTGTCTCTCCTCTGAAACAAACAAGCAGTTCCTTGCAATTTTTGTGCCTACAAAGTGCTGCACAGTCTTTGTTTACCAAGGCACTTAAAGGTGGCTGATTTCTTCCAAGCTCCTAATAGAGTGAATTCTTTTACCACTTTAAATAGAGTTTATAATGTATTATTTCAGATTTTCAGCAAGTATATTTATTTAACAATTAAGGGTATTAGTGCTGCCAAGTGATTTTGAAAAATGAACGTGGTGGCTGGAATAATGCAGTGCGAAGGCTTGTTCTGTTAAACGGGAATCCAGATCACACAGCTTTATCCCAGTCCTCTAGTCCCTGAGTCCCCCAGTTAACTAGAAACACAGACAATAAACTTCTTCCCATCCTAAATAGATTCTCCTCTCTATTAATTCCAAAAAGTTTTACGCTGGTCACCATATTCCCAAATTGTCCAATGCAAACCATGGTACCTTGGGCACCCTGGCCACAGACCCCAGCTCTCAGGGCTCCTGGCATATCCACAGATTCCCCTGTGTGGCCCGGAGACTCTGTCTAGTGGCTTTCCTGCCATGGGGTCCAGCAAGAAGGGACAGAGGGTGGATTCCCAGAAGCAGACCTTAGCCAACAAGAAATGGGGGTTGGGGGGAGATAGTCCAGTTTCCTGGCCCCTCCCCCCCTTGGCTGGGACAGCACTGGCAGAAGGGAAGATATTCTGAATCAGGAAGCCAGTGGCTCCCATGGGAATCCACAGATAAATCTTAGCCTGGGTCTTAGGTATTTCCCAGGGAAAGCTAAAGGTCAGAGGGTACAGGAAAGAGCTGTCAGTCCCATCAGAGGTGAGGAGTGGGCACCTGTAGGGCCCTCCCTCACTTTCCACCCCTCCATCCCCCGCCCACCTCAAGTGGTCTGGGTGGCAGGACCCACCATCCTCCCCTGGCATTTGTTCTTGAGGCTGTGGGAAGGGGGGAAATAAAAAACCAAATTCCATTCAATCACCATAACCTGTCCTTGCAGGAGCATAAAAGTAACTGATTGCTTATTTCAAACACCTAACCTATCTATTGCAGCAGCAACTCAGAAAATCTGATAAGGTGCTAATGGAAAATGTGTCATGCATGAATACCCATTTTAAAAACATGCTTATGTCACACTTCACATAAAGGTCAAAATTAATGTTATGTTGGAAACATTTTTCAAAGTACAATTATCTGGACTCGTGAAGTGAACCAAATTCCTGTTTGGTTTACCGTCTTGGATTTCAGCCATACATATTTCACCGGAAGGGCCTTGCCATCAGGCTGTAGGCTGAGTTGATGTGCTACTACAGGACCTCGGGTCCCCCAGCCTCTGTCCAGGGCCCTGCTTAGCCACCTCACCCTCCATGAGAAGCAAGCACCCTTCCTCTACCTGGCCAGATGTATCCCCTCCCCGCTGGTGTCATCAGCTCTGAAGCCCCTGACGTGGGAGCCACCAGCCTCAGGTCCTGCAGCAGCGAGGAGCCCCGTGGCATCCCAGGCGCACAGACGAGCGCTCAGCTGCTGATGGGCGTCCAGCTGGGAGACCATCTTCCAGAGACAGATGGGACTCGCTTCCCCCTGAAACTGTTGCCGCGTTACCTGGGGTCTGCAACGGGGGAGCTGGTGAAGAAAGCAAGAGTTGTTTTACCCTCTCTGATTTATAAAATTCAAGTAAAACAGACAGGCAATGAGGCCAAAAGCATAAGAAACTATAGATACCCATCTTGAGAGACAAGTTGCCCCGGAGACCTTCCTGAGCAAGTTAAGTAGAATAGAAAAGATTGCAGGACATCCCGGGGCCTCAAATTTGGTGGTTAAATGCAGGTGGGTACCCATACAGGCAACCCAGGGATTCTGATGATCAGATGCCCCCACCACGCCCCTCGCTTCCGCAGCCAGACCCTTGAGCTGGGGGGGGGGGGGGGGGGGAGTGGGCCGGCTCTGTCCTCTGCTGCCCCCTGGTGTCTGGAAGATTGCCCACATAGACCAGACACAGCAGAAATACTTGGTGAATTTGGAGCCAAAGATAACAGCCAGCCCTACAGGAGCAAGTCTTCCACCTGCCATGGATCGAGCAGGGGACAATTCCAGGGCACATGCCCACCCCCTCCACCCCAGCAGCCCCCACCACTGACAGGTGGAGAAAAGTTAGGCAAGTCACCTTGGATTCCACCTCCTTCTGTAGCTGCCCTAACAACCTGCATCGTGGAGCTATTGTCCCCAGCAGGGGTCATCCCTGCAAGAGCTGTTCCAAACCCTAAGGTGTTGTGCAAACGAGCTGGTGATGATGATGGAAAACACACAGCAGGTGTTTCAAGTTCATTTCAAACAAATAAAGGCTTAAGTCCAAAAAGACAGGACAGATTTCTGTTTATGGAAGGTTCAGAGGACAGAATAGACCCTGTTGTCAGAAATGGCTGGGTTCCAAACCAGCCCTGACCCTAACCCCCGCTTCTGGACGGTATGTCTTTGGGGGGTCCAATGTCCCATTTCAAGTGAGCATGCTGAGTTTTAATCAGACAATCAACTGGCGGAGTAACAGCCAGACCGTCATGGATGAGGCCAATGTCTGTCGCCGTCTCTCCAGCCTGCAGGGGATGTGTTTAGCTAAGCCTCTTCTGCCTTTGGTTCCTTGGTGTGAAGAGAGAGGAGGACATGACCTCGGTGTTTTTCTAGTGTTACAGATGCAGAACTGTGTTTTCAAGCAAAGCCCTGCATGCACTGAAATCAACGTGGCTTATCCATGGCAGGCACCAAGTGAACGTTGTAAATGGACACCTCTGCTACAGTGAATGCTTTCCCCCACCCACCCCCGCCCATCCCCTTCAGTGTCACCCTGAACACGTCTGAAACGCCCGAGCAACATGACCCCTGGCACTGCTGTCCTGCTGCAGAAAGTCTGGGCACACAAGACCCCAACCAGCAGGTTTCCCATCTGCCAGTCTGTCCTCCCCGCCAGACACAGTCCTCAATTTCTTTGGAAATGTTTTCCCACCCTTGTTTGAACGAGATGGCCTGAATGTATGTGCAAAATCAAAAGATCATAAAAAAAAAACCTCTCCAGAAACTGCTTGAACAGTCACGAGCCCCATCTCCCATGACCACAGAGATTCTTGTTGGATTTTCCTTTTGAAATCACACCTGGCACAGCCATAGGAGTCCAGAGCCAGCCGCCTCCCAGCTCAGAAACCATTTCAACCATCTGCTGATGCCACCTGGCCGCAGGGCTTTCAGAACCATGTGCTCTGGGTCGTGACCAACATGGGATAAAGTCCTTCTTATGTTGGGAAGATCCCGTGGAGAAGGGAAAGGCTACCCACTCCAGCATTCTGTCCTGGAGAATTCGATGGACTGTATAGTCCATGGGGTTGCAAAGAGTCGGACACAACTGAGCGACTTGCACTTTCTGCACAAGAGCCCACAGGTTGTTGTAGAGCAGGTGAGTGTGTCAGTTTGGGGCACCTTAGAGGGAGATGAAGGACCCCTGCTCTTTAATGTTATTATTAAGGTGGCTCAGACAGTAAAGAATCTGCTGGTCATGCAGGAGACCCGGGTTTGATCCCTGGGCCAGGAAGATCCCCTGGAGGAGGGCATGGCTACCCACTCCTGTATTCTTGCCTGGAGAATCCCATGGACAGAGGAGCCTGGCGGACTATCTTGCATGATGTCACAAAGAGTCAGAAACGACTAATGCTAAGGTGCCATCCACCTAAGTCTTTGTGTCTGCTATTGGTTGATCTTCCCCAAGAATCAAGCATGAGCATCAGTCAACTTAGGGCCATCCTCACAGTTGTCCACTTGCCAGTGTCACTATGGCAGGTGAGGGCAGTGGGCAATAATTAGATAAGAGATGACCAACTTCTCCCTAGAGAAGACCAGCATCACCTCCTTACTCTACTCCTATGACCAAAGACGGGGGGCGCCCAGGCCAGACAGGGTTCCACATAGAGTCAGCCCACACCAGCAGCCTCTCCCCTCCCACCCACCTCCCCAACTCCCTGCAGCCTCACCTGGGAGCACTTCCTTAGAAACTACCTGCCCGTGAACCATCTACAGGGTCTGGTTCCAGGGCCTCCTCTCTCCTCAACCATGGAGGATCATCCTGGGCTGACGAAGCTTCCAGAGACTTTCAGAGACTGTGTCTGCATTAGGGGCATTGCACCCCTGGACAGACACAGGCATAAATCCTCTCTCCCTACATTTTCCCCTGCTGGCTGTGGGGACAAGCTTTTCTTTCCAAAGAAGAGCAGGAGCTGTCTTATCATCTTTAGCAGCCCCAGGAAATCCCAGTGCCTTCGCTCCAGTGAGGGTCCCATGGGACAGAGGCAGAGTGGGAAACGGAGTCTCTAGGTCAACCTGAGAGATGTGGCTAGTCAACAGACATCCCAAGAGTAAGCGTGGAGATCTGGGCTGGTGCCGGGCAGGAACACTCGTTTTACTGGGGAAGCGAGCCTCATCTCATCTTATCTGGTCCTTAGGGCAGGATGCTGCGTTGTCCTGTCCACCAGGGTCCTCTAGGTCACCAGAACCCCCAGCACGCATGTGTGCCAAGTTGCTTCAGTTGTGTCCAACTCTTTGTGACCCCATGGACTGTAGCCCACCAGGCTCCTCTGTCCATGGGATTCTCCAGGCAAGAATACTGGAGTGGGTTGAGCGACTTTCACTTTTGGGTCCTGGGGGAGAAGCAGGGGTGATGGAGGCAGACCCTGGCCCTGGAGGAGCCCCACTGTGACAAGGCACCTTGTTCTAAGGGCAGTTAGCCACGGCAGGGTTTCCCACATGGAGGCAAGATGAAGCACCACCTTCTGGATGCCCTCAGCCTGGAGCCTCCAAAAAGAGACTCTGAGTCAAAGACTCGTGGGGCTGTGGTCCCAGAAGCAGGGGGGAGGGACGGGGGTGAGCAAGGCAAGAGGGAAGCCCACCTCCCCAGCTCAGGCCCACAGACTCTCAATCAGGGGGCACATGATGACTAAGAACCCTCAGGACCCTCCTCATTTACCCCTTGGCTCCCTGGAAGGCTGACCTACCCAGGGGTCCAGGTGGGATGCGTAGGGCCATGTGGGACAAGGATGTCTGGCACTGAGGCGTCAGGGGAAGACCGAGCAGGAAAGGACAGAGCCCAGGCCCAGTCGGACCACACAAGGTCACAGCCTGCCTGGCTCCGGCCTTCACAGACATGGCTGAACACGGACGGGGGCCAGGACTGAATGGGCGCCCAGAAAGGTCCCATCCAGAGATGGGAGGGACATGGACTCCCTCTCCCCTCTCCAAGAGCAGACCTCTGAGTAGGTGGACATGTGGTGGACCGACAGAGGTCTTTCAGGTATATTGTAGAAGTAGGTAAGAGCCACTACAGGTCAAAGAGCATAGCGTAACTCCAGACTCAGAGAGGCCTCAAAGAACCAGAAACAGCTAAAGAGAAGGTAGAGAGAGCATTGGACTAAAATTTCTCCAGCGTCTGGAATTAACATGTTTCTCCAAATTTTACTTGCCATCAAGCCCAATTCACAACTGATTTCTGCGTCCACCTACCTCACCCACTGAGGAGCGGGACGAAGAGTTGAATGGCGATGTTAACAAAGAGAGAGCAAAAGGCTTGAGCAGATAGTTAACAGGAGGTTGTATGAAAAATGACAAGCACAGCTGAGAAGCTGGACAAACTCATGACCAGTAATCACAACTTAAAGCCACAGCAAACTGCATGGAAAGAACACACTTCAGCTTTCAAATCCTTTCTAAGATTAGAGATAATGTTCTATGCATGCCTGCTCACTGTGTCTTTCTATTTTGTGAACCCATGGACTGTATCCCACCAGGCTCCTTCTGTCCATGGAATTTTTCCAGGCAAGAATACTGGAGTAGGTTGCCATTTCCTCCTCCAGGGGAATCTTCCCGACCCAGGGATCAAACCCACGACTGTTGCACGTCTCCTGCACTGGCAAGCGGGTTCTTCACCACTGCATCACCTGAGAGTGCCTAGAAAGAATTTGGAAGCAGTCAGTCTTACTACCAGTAACATGTTGAAAAATCAGCACACGCTTGCAAATCTTAGGTTATTCCCCAGTAGTATTTGAAAAATGGGGTTAAACTTATTAATTAATCAAGCCCATTTTCAGTATGAATGCTGAGGTACTTTGTCATTCATTCCTCATCTCATCTGTCTCCTTGTGTGTTTCCAGATTACTGTAGATGCTTCCTTTCAAAGGAATAAACCACTAGACAAAGAAAAATAAGCATATACCACACTGTGACACAAGGTATGCGTTGCAGGGTCAATAAATTTTGACACTTTAGGTTTCAAAGTGGAGAAAGGAAAATAGGGAGTGGGAAGGATTTTAAAAAAAAAATTTTAAGCTGAATTTGAAGAGCTTGGTGACTTGGGGTGTTAAATTCTTAGTTTCCAACTGAAAATGGTGTTTCTGTCTCTATGAATTTCTGTTATATAATATAACTTAGGATTTGTGAACAGCTTTATTTTCTTTTTAAATTAAAGAATGTTTTATTGCTTTAAAAGATTAAAAAATAAAGCCAAGGGCGCGATTCCACTC